TCGCACGGGGGAGTGCAGTACAATTCAGTCCATGAAGAATCCGGCATATCTTGTTCGGGCAAGTGGGGACACCATTTGGATGATCACCCGTGAGGGGAAAGTAACGTGCAGGAGCTGGATAATCTGGAGCTTAATTTTAAGTTGAAGCTTCAGCAGCAGGCATACAGAGAGGTGATAAAAATAATTCATCGAAAACAACTCCAAGGACAGGCGCTCGTTGGTTACCTCCACAAACATGGACACTCAGAAATTGCGTTGCACTTTGTTACCGAACCTTTTACAAGGTTCAACCTGGCAGTAGAATGTGGAGCCCTTGAAATTGCAAAGAGTACCGCGATGGAGCTTAATCAAGCCTCAGTTTGGAGGCGCTTGGCAGAAGCGGCAAAAACAAATGGTGATATCCAACTTGCACAGTTTGCCAATTCAAAGGCTTTAAATTTTCACGGAGGAGCATTGCTCTCCTTGATTACTGGGAACATGGCGGCTTTGGGTCATTTGGTTGACACAACCAATGATGACAATTTTAAACTACACTATGGATTGTATCTTGGCGATGCTCAGAAACGTGTCCAGATATTAGCGAATGCGGGTCAACTGCCGTTGGCATATCTTACGGCAAAATCAAATGGGCTTGATGATCTGGCGTCCGCAATTTTCGATAAAATGGATCCTGATGTATCTGAACGCATGTTGAAGGCGAAAGTCCACCCTATTTCAGAAATTCCCAAGCCAGTCGCTGTGACTGAGAATTGGCCAATGTTACAAGTGGAGGAATCCATGTTTGCTCGTCTATTAAAGGAGCCAGGCCAATTGAACGCTGCCCAGGCCGTCCTCGGTGACGATGAGGAGGAGGAGGATCACGCAGGTGCTGGATGGGATGAGGACGATTATGATGATACTAATAACAATGCGGGAATGAGTATGGATGGGGAGCGGGAGGAAAGAGAAGTAGAGGGTGAAGGGTGGGACGATGACCTTGAGATTCAGGTACCACCAGACTACGGGGCGGACGGGGCACAGAAGGGAGCGTACGTTGTGCCAGTGGAGCACCCGCCGCTTCCTCAGCACTGGGTTGAGATGTATTCACTTCCGGCATTCCACGTCGCGGCAGGATCTTTTGCAACGGCTTTTGATTTGCTGCGACGCCAAATTGGTTTGTGTGACCCTGAACCACTGAAACCGTACATGATGAACCTGTGGACCTCCGCAAACGCCTCACGACCGTCATGGATTGTTACATCCGTTGTGTTCCCCTTGACCAAATATCCGTCTGGGGAACAACGGGGTGCCCATCACGCTCCTTTGCTTCCGGAATACATTCCGGTGTTGACAGAGAAGCTTCGGGCCGGATACACGGCATTTGTAGAGGGACGCTTTGCGGATGCCCAAGCTCACTTTGTTGGGATCATGCATCAAGCAGTTTTTGCCACGTACGAGGACGAAAAGCAGCGCGCATCCCTTCTTGAGCTTATTACAATTGCTTCTGAATATGCGCGCGCTCTCAGCGTACAACTTCACTGTCGCAGTATTGACGGAAACTCTAAGGAGGCACTGGAGCTCTCTCTATATTTTACGCACTTTAAGCTTCAGCGTTCTCATCTCACCCTGGCCCTCTCCCAAGCCATGAGCAAGGCATACAAAATGAAAAACATTAAAACCGCTGCAGCTGTCGCCAGAAGACTTCTTGATCAAGACCCCCCAAAGACAAAGGCGAACCAGGCTTTGGCAATTGTGGCGGAAGGGGAACGAAATCCTACGGATTCGGAGAAATTGGAGTACGATGAACGCAACCCCTTTTCCCTCTGCTCCTTCTCACATCGCCCCATGTACAAGGGAACGATTGATCCAGTACGATGCAGCTATTGCCACTCCCCTGCGCATCCGGAACACAAGGGGAAAGCGTGCCCGGTGTGCAAAATTGCCCTTTTGGGCGCAGAGACAGCTGGTCTTGTCAACCGGGCTTAGAGAACGAGTTTCTTTTGAAACCCTCTTTTTTTTTTGTCCTGTTGTGATGTTCTAAGCGTAAATTTATTTATACAGCCATGTGTTTATATATTTATATATTTATTTATTTATGAGAGAGGGAGAGAGAGAATAGAGAGGACGAGAATTAAATGGTAGCCACAAAAAAGCAGGAAGAAAAAAAAAAAAAAATTAGCCAATCAGACGAGGTGAGGAAACAGAAAAAAGGTCCAAAAAAACAAGAACAACAACAAAAGGATCTTCACTTTTTTTTTTCTTCCTGAAATACCCGCTGCCTCCATAACATAACACTTTGCGCGACACTTTTTTTAGTTGTTGTTGGGGACCGCTGTCGTCCTGAAGTGGCTTCGGGAAAAGTATTTTCTGCCGTGCCGGGATTCAACCCCTGAAGGAGGAACACTTACTGTTTTTCTTTTTTTTTACATGTATATTTATATTTCTTTTTTTTTTTTTTTTTTTTTTTTTGATGAAACGTTCTTGCGAAGAACTGAGACTGCTGTAGGGGAAATGACAGGGTGGAACCAAAAAATGGCGAGGGCGGCCTTCCGTCGCTCGAAGTTTCGTCGCCTTGCCTGGGGGGATGGTGATCCGTACCCGTACACCCCGCGGGCGACATTCCGCTACCAGTGGGACGATTGGCCCTTGTGGGAAAAAATATGGCATCTCGCCATTGGCATCATAGGTGTCGAGTTTTCCGTGTGGGCCTACTACTCCAAACTGAATAGCCGAATGGATTGGGCCCGCGAAGAGGCTCTGCGCCGCATGCGACTAAGACGTGAAGCTCAGGAGCTTATGATTTTGGAGGGAGAAAAGTTTGATAGTGATATTCAGCCGGACCGTAGATAGAACAAATGTATAGAAACGTGATAGTGGATGTTTGTTACGTTTTTTTTTTTTTTTTTTCTTTGCATATCAAGGGGATTCTTTAGTTATTGGTTTTTGTTTGGGGTATCGTCTAGTAGGAAAGTTGCTGCTAAAAATCAGCCGTGCATTGTGTGTGTGTGGTGCCCATCGCGGTACGTTTGAAGTTGGTTTTAGATACGTATTCGTTATATTTTATAAGCTAACATGAGCAAGTTTGTCGCTGTGGATAACAAATAAATGCACACAGAAATGCATTACAACAATGTTTTATGTTTATGCCTTTTTTTTTTTATTCAGGATTTTTGTTGAAAATATTGCGGCAAATTTATTTTTACTTCTTATTTTTCTTTTTTTTTTTGAATGGGAAGGGCGGAAATGGCCCAAAAGAGCGGATTGGTATTGGGTGCATGTGGTGCGCTTGGAGAAGCCGTAACAAAATTACTACTGGAAAAAAAATGGAATGTAATCGGAGTGGATATCGTCCCCAAAAAACTTCTAACAGATTCTTACACACATGTTGTTTTGGACAATATGGCCTCTGCCGAGGCCCAGCAGGGCGTGATGCTCGAAGCTGTTGCTAAAAGTACACTTTTGGATGCCGTCATCAATGTTGCCGGGGGCTGGGCAGCGGGTAGTGCAGCTGACAGTTCCGCTTCTTGTGCAATGGAATCTTTGATTCGTCAGTCGTTGTTTTCTTCTATGGCTGCTGCCCACTTGGTCTCCCAACGCGGTGGTAAAAACTGTTTTCATTTATTGCCAGGTGCAGCCGCAGCCCTTGGTCCAACCCCCGAAATGTTGGGTTACGGGGTGGCGAAGGCTGGCGTGCATCAATTGACGAAGTCTCTTGCTGCCAGCAATTCAAAGCTGCCGGAGGGGGCATGCGTTGTGGCTCTTCTCCCCACAATCCTTGACACCCCTGCAAACAGGAAGGCCATGCCCAATGCCGACAGGAGTTGTTGGACGCCCCTTGGTACTGTAGCGGAATTTATTGTGGATTGGGCAAACGGCGTCAATCGGCCGCCAAGCGGCTCGCTTGCTCTTGTAACTACAAAAGACGGGGGTACGAAGATAACATTTCAATATTGACGGGGAGAGAGAAGAAATTTATCTCTTACAAAAGAGAACTTCTAGTTTACTGGACGACCACGGAGATACCCTCACACTTTATTTGCGTATAGAGAACGAGAGGGAAAGGAATTAATGTGTCATTTTTTTTTTTTTTTTGATGAGGAGATGCACGGTTTTTGTGGGTCGCCTGCTGTTCTTTGTAATCATTTTGTTTGCTCGCTTGTACTATTCTTTTTTAATTCCTGTTGTCGTTTTTGGGATTATTATTAGGAATTTTCTGCTTTTTGCGTGAGGTTTTATCTTTGTAACGGTGTTTACAAATCAAAAAAAAAAAAAAATGGCTTCCGGTGGTTCTGTAATAGGTGTAAAATACAATGGTGGAGTCCTTTTGGCGTGCGACACGCTTCTTTCGTATGGTTCTCTTGCAAAGTGGCCGAATATCCCCCGCATGAAGCTGGTAGGCGCGTACACTGTTATGTGTGCTACTGGCGACTATGCAGACTTTCAGGAAATGACAACAATGATCGAAAACCATGTAAACAGACAACAAATGTATGGTGGCGGCGCACTTACCCCAAATGAGGTCTTTTGCTACCTTCAGCGTCACGTCTACCACAAACGCTCGCAGTTTGAGCCATGCCTTTGCCGTTTTGTTGTGGCTGGGTGTCACGGAGGCGAACCATTTCTTGGCGGTGTGGATGACGTGGGCACTCGATGGACTGACGATTGTGTCGCCGCCGGATACGGCGCGTACATTGCGCTTCCGCTTCTTCGGCAGGCACTGGAAAAACCGGGCGGTCTGACACGCGAAGAGGCCATTCGGGTCATTAAGGACTGTCTGCGTGTATTGTTCTACCGGGAATGCCGTGCTATTAACAAATTTCAGATTGCTGATGCCACGAGCGATATGGTGTCGATTGGCGAGCCATTTGAGGTGGAAACCAACTGGGAATACGATGGTTTCTGCTTTGAAAAGACCGCAATTATTCGTTAGAAGTTCTCCTTGTCACCGTCACCAGGGAGGGCAAATGAGAGGCGGGGAGAGAAAAGAAAATAAGCGAGAGGAGGGAGATGAAAGAAAAAAGGAATGTTTTTATCATCATTATTATTATTACTTCTTCTTTTCCATTCAAATTAATTTTTTATGCGTGTTTTTTTCTTTTGCCGATTTACCTGTCGGCACCCCTCGCAGGTTTTTGTTTTATACGTGTTCTTTGCTCTTTTCTTTTTGCCTGCATGACGATTTACACCTGCTTCATACGTGTCTCTCCTAAAGGATGGGGTGAATAGGTGGTGAGCAAACAAAGAAAAGGAAGTGACGAAGGAGAGGAAGAGAGACGGAGAGGAGTAGAAAATAATAATAAAAAAAAATAAAAAAAAAAAAACAATCAATCAAAAACCCGAAAATAACATTTTTCCTTCATATTTGCAATATTTATCCGTAGACTGTAATGTCTACATCGTCTGGGAGGGATGGTCTGGCGTCGACCATTCGCAGAATTGCAAATGACCCAGAGAAACGTGCTGTTATGGTGGAGGATGAGATCAAACGTATAAAGGAACTTCAAAGGAAGAATTTGCAAGAATATGAAAACACAATTTCTTCCTTGTTAGTGTGCCTGGAAAGCTTTGATGTGGTGCAGAGCGTTGCGCCTGAGATTAAATGTGCCCTCACCGTGCTTGACATACTGCTTGGTCTTGGATTGACGACTATTCAAATGTCTCAATGCAACAGTTATGCCCGACTTTGTCTCTGTGCACTAAATGACACTTCTCTTGCGCCGGCGGCTGCGCAGACATTTGCTAAGACACTTGTAGACGGTATGGCATCAGACTTTGCTCGTGGTGAGATTGATGAGTCGCTTTCATGGATTGAGTTGAGCGACGTCACTATGCGAGCCAGAAGAATGTGTGGGTTGCTGGTTCTGCGGGAGGTAGCGCTACGGATTCCAATGCTGATCCTTTCCAAGTTAAATATTCTCTTTGAAAAATTGTGGAGTGGTTTGGCCTCATCGGATGAGATGATACGTGACACATCGACGCAATTATTTAAGGTGTGTGGAAAATTACTTAGTAGCCGATCACCGACGTTGCGTGCCAAAACAGTAGACGCATTACTTCACCAGCTTAAATCCAATCTCGCCGCAAAGTCACGAGATTGCAATTTGGCTGGCTTGCTAGCTTTTGAGACGGTAGTGATGAGCTCAATGGGTTGTCCTTCTCAGCCACGTTATGAAGATTTGTCCATTATGTTGCTACCCTATGTCATGTCTGGTGGATCTTCAACGAACTCCGAAATTGTGCGGAAGCTTCTTTTTCATTGTCTTGTTGTGCTTTGCCGGTACAGCACGACATTGTTTATAGCCAATCAACTGAAGGACACGGTGAGTTTTGCCCTGAAATCTATCCGAAACCTGTTCCAACACTGTGCTGCTTTTGACATGCTTAGTGAAATTATCCCGATGGTTGGTAAAGGAGCCTTTACGCCTTTTGCGAAAGAGACATGCGAAGCCGTCCGGTTCATATCTGAACGTTCCCCTACACCATGCTGGGAGTCACTGAAGTGTTTCTCGGTGATATTTAGAGAGTGTCCGTTTGCGGATGTTGAGAGTTATATCGAGTCATGCATAGAAAATATTTTTAACTGGGGATTGTCATCACAGCTGATTGAGTGCATGAGAGACATTATTTCGTCTTCCAGCACAAAATGCCGGACGAAACTGGAGGAGGCGCTTTTGGACATGATTTCTGTGACGCTTTGTGGTTTACCATTTCGCCAGGTTACGGGGACTCGAACAAAGGATGTTATTTATCCCGAATTGGAGCCAACAGAGAGCCAAATTGTGGTAGCGCTTAACGCATTGATACAATTTGGATTTTCTGATTCTGAACTTATGGGTGACTTTCTTCGTGATTCCGTTCTTCCGCTCATTGATAATCCGAGTGCGTCTGTGCGGAATGCTGCCATTAGCACCATCGTTTCTCTTTTGATTCCGCCTGGAATAAAGGGTGAGTTGACGATGGCTCGTCGAATATGTGTGGATATGATTGTCTCACGCATGCTTGTTGTTGGACTGGCAAACCCGGATCCGGTGATACGAGCGACCATTCTCTCCTCTTTTACTCCTTCATTTTATCCGTATCTCAGTGAGTTGCAGTTTTTAACTCAGTTATTTTCGGCACTTGGGGATGAAGACATACGGTGCCGTATTGCCGCAACGGAGTTGTTGTGTCGAATGGTGAGTCATGACCCGTCGCATATTTTGCCTGTTTTCCGCAAAGAGGTCCTACATATTCTTTACGCACTCTCTAGAGACGACAATAAAAATACTGTACTAAATGGACTTCTTTTGTTAGATGCGGTTGCGTCCAACGCTCCTCAATTTGTGGTGAACTTAACGGATGGCATCGTTAAAGCTCTTGGGCTTCACTTCACATCGCTTGAGATTCACTCGCAAAAATTACAACCACTTCTTCGTTGTTGTACTTCCGTCGCTCGTGCAGTGCGTTTTTTTGGTCACAACAAACCCGTTTTTACAAATGAGGTGGAGCGTGTTTGTGAGTTGTTAGACATGCTCCCGCTCGATACGGAGTTTGCTACCTCTCGTTTATGGTGTCTGCGATTTCTTGGCGCCGCTCTCGGTCCTCAAATTGGGGGCCGTTCACCGTATGATGTATACCCACACCTGTATCGTCGTCTTTCTGGAATACTAAAGAATAGTGATGATGACCTGAATTTGCGCCTTGAGGCACTACGCTGTGCCGGGACTATTGGAGCATTGGACACCAGTGTCTTTCAGTCACTGGGTTTAGGCCACAGTACACATCAAATTAAATTGGAACGAGGCACCTCACATGCACTTAGTCATGCAATGTGTTGCCGTTATGTGTTAAGGGCCATTGCTTCTTTGCTAGATCCAAATGAGAAACGAGTCTCGGTGAATAAGGACACCTTGTTGCGAATAGGCATCCAAACGATTCTGCAGATTGGCGAAAGTTGCCCGTGTTCACGTGCTGAAATGACAGTTGTGATTCACCCCGTTGTGCGTGCTGCTAGTGAACTTAGCGCTGGACGCCTTCTTGGCGTTGTCTTGTATGAGTTGACACAAATCATAAAGTACGTTGGGGCGGCTGCGCTTTCAGAGGTGAACGTTCTTTATACGTTTTTTGATGTGGTCTGGGACAGGTGTCCTGCATATCGCTTTCTTATTGTACGTCTTGCCTCAACAATTGCCAGCTTTAGAGACAAGGGAGATCAGAAGTATCGACAAAGTGATGCTCGTGTAATTCCCATTAAGTTTGATGCCCTCAATGATGCCGATTCCTCCGAGTTTTTGAGATATGCTATTCTAGAGTACATTGTGAGGCACACGGAAACACTTCGGTTCTGTGCTGAGATTGTTGTTCTCAACCTACTTCGTGCCACACAGCGGAGCTCTGTAGACTTTGTAGTGTATGTTGTGACGGCTCTTCGTGTGGTGTGCTGGAGGTTAAACGCGGATGAGCTTGCTGGTGTCATTGTGCGTGGACTTCTTAGTGCCTTAAAGTTGCATTCGTCAGCCCTTACGAGGGTCACGGAGTATACATCTTTTACGGATCGAATCATGAGTGTCTTCTGTGTGCTGATTGTCCAGCTACAGGGAGAGTTTATTAAATACTCTTCAGAGGTTATCCAAACCCTCAAGACGCTCCGCATATCCAACTCTGAGTTCACGACGCTGCAAGGGCTATTAATAAAAGGATTTCGTTGTGCGCTGAGTGAAACTTCACTAAAAGAGCATCACGATCAAGTTGTATCCCTTCTTAAAAAATGTAAATCGATGGCTGTGCGAGGAATATCTCGACTTGGAGAGGTATGGAGTGCAAGAAGTAACACGGAAGACACAACAGCGGCATTTGGCGATGACGAGCGGCCTTTGCCCGTAGCGGAACAGCGAATCATTAACACAATTAAAACGGTTTCACTCACAAAAGAGGAATGGCTTCGATGGATCGATCACTTCTCCATATCTGTCATGCAAGAATCACCATACCGTGTGTTTCGTTGCGTTTCGCTACCTATTGGAACTAATGCAACTTCTCTTGTAGAAAGATCGCCTGAGTTTACACAGGATATTTTGCGTCTTGCATTTCGTGCCCTTTGGAACTTTGGAAGCGCATCTATTCGCTCCTCTATTGTGGACTTTTTTCGACAAACTCTACAACAACCCATATGGACCTCGGCCGTACCGGATGATGTCATCACCGGAATGCTTTCCCTGATAGAGTATATGGACATTGTTGGGATGACGCTTCCCATAGCAGCAAATGATCTTTCTGAATGTGCATGGCGCCGGGGTATGCTGGCAAAGGCGCTTTATTGGCGTGAAGCCGCCTACCGTGAGGATCCTGCAAGTACGGTAGAATCCCTTATTATCCTTTATAGTGAATTACACCAGCGTGATTCTGCTGTTAGTATTCTTAGTCAGGCAAATGAAAATCAGAAACGGAATTTACTTCAACAATCAGGACTTCTCAAGCTTGCCGGGTATACAGAGTTCTTGCAGCTTACACAGCGAGAGATTGACAGAGACTTTGTGGGTTCTGAAACTAGTAGTGAGAGTTTGGCGAGACCACTGCCGTACCGATCAAAAAATTTTAGACGTATTCGCGGAGTTGCAGGCCGTTCACTATCAGATGTTAATGGATCCTTTCGTAGTGAAGATGCGACTCTTGACTTACATTTGGAGCGAGAGGTAAGGCAAATGGTGAGTTTAAGTGAATTTGGAGAATATGACGAGGTGATTCGTCAATGGGAGGCGGTTTTTAAGAGGCATAAGGAGAAGAAGGTGGAAAATGAGGATAATATTCTTTTTTATGTCTCACAGTATGCTGCAGACGCCTCCATACGATTGCAGTCGTGGAGTACGTTGGAAGACACGTTGTTATGGATGCCGCGGGATAGTGTGCAATACCACATAGCACGGGCTGCGTTTTTTATTCACAAGGGTCAGTACGATGAGGCTTTTTTGGCTGTGGATGAAGGCCGTAAACTTCTGCTAGATGACCTTTCTGGACTTTTGCATGAGTCTTATATAAGAGCCTATGAAATTCTTGTAATTGCACAGGAATTGTCTGAGTTGGAGGAGGTGATGACGGCAAAACGCGCCAAGGAAACGTCATCCATGGAACACTTTCGTCGTATTTCACGACTTTGGGATCAACGTATCGAGATGATGTCGCCTACTGTTCCTGTGTGGAAGCAGGTTCTCAGCGTGAGGGGACTACTTATTCCCCCAAGTGAGGACGTCACAACACAACTGCGTTTTGTAAAACTCTGTCGACGTGAAAATGCGAAGCAGTTAGAACGCTTCACCTTATTTCAACTTCTTGGCCACCGCTGTCCAACTTACGAGCAGTTGATGAGCTGCAATGCCAACCCACGTGTGGTGATGCAATACATCAGTTTTCTTTCCGCGAATGGAGAGTTGGGTCCAAAGAGCCCGTATGGTCTTGAGAGCGATCTTCTTAAAAAACTGATTGACACGCATTCCAAGGTGGAGAACACGATTTTACTCTCTCGCGCCTATGCTCGCCTCGGTACTAAGACAGAGCTGAAAGAAGCCATAGAATGTTACAAGGCCGCAACGTTGTATGATCCCAATTGGTTTCATGCATGGCGTATGTGTGCTGAGGCGAATGTTGAGCTTTTAAACACGAGCTACTCTGAAGCTGCGTACGCCGCGGCAATTGAGGGTTATATTCAAAGCATCAAGTTGGGAAACTCGGACTCTACGATGATTCAGGATGTGCTGAAGTTGCTCACGTTACTGAGTCGCCACTCGGATTCAGACAAAGGACTGATAAAGTTGCGTGAAAAAGTGTTAGATGTCTCATCACGAGCATGGTATTTAGTTGTACCTCAACTTATTGCTCGCCTGGACTCTGGATCAGATGACAGCTGCCAACTTATTGCAGATATTTTGACTTCGGTGGTCTTTGATTACCCACTTTCTTTGATATATCCGTTGAATCTGTGTGCCATGTCGGACTCGGAGCGACGCAAGAAATTGGCAACCATGATTCTTGAAAAATTGAAGTCTAAGTTCCCTGTCATTGTTCTTCAAGGTCGTATTCTTATTGATGAGCTTCTTCGTATATCGGATTTGGTCTACGAGAAATGGTATGATCGGTTGGATACAGCTGCAACGGCCTTTTTTGGCCGTAGAAACTGTCATGAGATGGTGGAGACGTTATTGCCAATGCATGAGGAGCTTAATAGAGCGCCGGAGACAATTGTTGAAGCCGAATTCACATGTAAATACAGCAGCCGCCTTCAAGAAGCACGCGAATGGCTGAAGTCCTACACGCGAACCGAATCGATTGCGGATTTACATTCCGCTTGGCATATATATCATGGAGTATATCGACAGATTGATGAACAAATAAAGTCTCAGAATCGATTACAATTACCATTTTGTAGTCCAAAACTTTTTGAAGCGCGAAATCTTTCAGTAGGCATTCCTGATGCTATGCCGACGGATGATGGTAATGTTTCTTGTATTGCTTCTTTTAACGACACCCTTGTTGTTATTGCGAGTAAGCAGAGGCCAAAGCGTTTAAGTGTAATAACAACGGAAGGTAAAAAACAAAAATATCTTCTAAAAGGACGAGAGGATTTACGGCTTGATGAGCGCGTTATGCAGCTCTTTCGTCTTGTGAATACGCTGATGATGTCTGACTCAAGAACTTGCAAGAATTTTGGTTTTCAGATTCAACGTTACTCTGTGACTCCACTGAAGGACACAGTTGGAATTATCGGTTGGGTGGGTGGATGTGACACTTTTCACGAGTTGGTCAAAAAGTATAGGACTTCTCGTGGCGTCCCTTGTGAGTTAGAATTGCGAATGCTAAATCAAATTATTGTCTTTGACCAGCCCAAAGCATATGACTTTCTTACCATCATGTCCAAGGTGGAGGTAATGGAGTTTCTTGCCGACCATACGACAGGACATGATATTCGCAAAGCTATGTGGGCTTCTGCTGCAAGCTGTGAGACTTGGTTGGAGCAGCGACAGGTGTTTACTACATCCTTGGCAACCACAAGTGTGGTAGGGTACATATTAGGTTTGGGTGATCGTCATCCAAATAATATGATGATCCAACGTACATCTGGTTTAGTTGTTCACATTGATTTTGGCGACTGTTTTGAGGTTGCCATGACACGTGACAAATTTCCCGAAAAGGTTCCTTTTAGGCTTACTCGAATGTTACGAAATGCATTGGACGTTTCAGGTGTTGACGGGGCATTTCGTACGATTGCAGAGACGGCCATGTGGGTATTACGTGATGGAAGTCACAGTGTCCTTGCCATACTGGAGGCCTTTATTCAAGATCCACTTATCTCATGGCGACTGATGAATCGACCAGGAGAGGAACCACAGGCATCGGCAGATCACCAAGCCTTTGAACAAATGGGAGCCAGGAAACTTTATTCACCGGCTGCATTCACAGGGGATCCCCCTAGGGATAGTGTCTCAACATTGGCTATAAAAACGGCCTACGTTGCATCTGTGGGGGAGGAGATTGACATGGTTCATAAGGGCGTGACTATCTTTGAGCGTGTTCGTTCAAAGTTAAAGGGTGAAGATTTTCTGCAGAAGAAGGGGGGTACCGCAAGCATGGATCCCAAGGTGCAGGTGGCTCGGCTCATAGCAGAGGCGACAGACATTACAAATGTTGCGCAGTCATGGTCTGGGTGGTACCCGTTTTGGTAGGGTGTTTTTTTTTTGGCCTTGTCGTTTACCTTTTCTATTTGTGTTATTGCTGGTACTTTTTCTTTTTGTTCATGCTTTGCTGCCGCTATTTCCTTTTTTTTTTCTTTTTGTGTGTGGTGCCGTCTCTTTTTTCATGGGTAATTCTTTTTTTTTGGCGGCGGTGGTGGTTTTGGTGTTTGTACTGCTTGCCGAGCCGAAATTGCAGGCGATTTTCCCCTTGCCGGGCACCGTAGATTGGGAGATGTGGAGAATGTGCGGGAAAGCAACGGGATGGGAAATGTTGTCTGTTATGCGTTCATCTTTTTTTTTGTTGGTTTATTCTTTCATGCGGACGCCGCAAGGGGCGTTAAGAGGGCAGCGTCGTTGTTGTTTTTCTTTTTTTTTCTTTTTTGTTGTTGTTGATTTAATTGGCGAGGAAAAAGAGTTTGCCGCTTCCCCAAGCAAGATTCTCTGCATTGGGGGGTTTTTGTTTCGTGCGAAAGGAGCGTGGGAACCCAATTTACATTTACGGGACTTGAGGGATGAAACAGTCGCTCGTCCAGGCATTGGACTCAGTTGGGGCGAAGAGGAAACCGAAGGGAGCTGTTTATGATGCGGCTCTGATCTCGGTGGCGTTTATGACGTCAAAGAGCATGGCTGCCCGCGGAGTAAGGTTATCCTTGCTACTGAATTCCTTCGTACGCTTACCAGAGCTGCAAAATTGGAGGTGTAGTTACTACGAATGGAAAGAGAAGAAAAAAAAAAAAACGTCAAAGGGGAGAGGGTTCGCTTTGGAATTTCATGAGGTGTGCGTGTGCGCGTTTTTGTTATGGCGAGTAAAAATTTTTTTATTTGCTTTTTCCTTTAATTAGTTTTTCTAGTAAAGTTGTCAGCCATGCACCAGGGTGCACCGTATATGCAGTATGCAATTTACCCCTCACAGCAGCCGACGATGAAGCCTTACCCTACAATGGCCACTGTGTCTCCGGAGACGAGGAATATGCTCAACCTTCTTGAAAGCCTCTTTAAGCTGGAGTTGCGTGAGAAGGCAATTTTAGAGCTGGCCAAGCACAGAGATTCCTTTCAAAAACTTGGACCGTTCTTGTGGTACAGCGTAGGCACTATGGCTATTTTGCTGCAAGAGATCATCTCTGTCTATCCGCTTCTTCACTCCCCAGAGCTGCTTTCCAAGTCGACAACAAGCCGCGTGGGGAGTGTCCTTACACTTCTACAGAGCGTTGCGTACGATGATTCTACCCGTAAATTATTTTTGGAGGCCCATATTTGCCTCTTTCTATATCCATTTCTTCGCGGGACGGGTAGCGGAACGGGGAATGTGACGGAGGGCCTTCGTCTGACTTCACTTGGCGTCATTGGTGCCCTTGTCAAGACGGACGACAACGATGTGATGCAGTATCTTCTTAGCACGGAGATATTCCCTCTGTGCCTTAAAATAATGGAATATGGACTAGAGCTCTCACGGACTCTAGCCACCTTCATTGTGCAGAAACTTTTGCTCTCAGATCTCTGTCTACAGTATGTTTGTCAGACGCCGGAACGATTTAAGGCCGTCGCGGCGGTTCTGCAGAACATGGTGGGATCGAAAGAATGTACTGCGCGTCTTCTTCGGTACATCATTCGTTGTTATTTGCGACTTTCCGAAAATCCTCGTGCTTGCGAAGCACTTTCTCGGTGCCTACCAGAGGTGCTTCGCAATGACACGTACAAGCAAGCACTTGAAGGCAATCCCAATATAAAAAAGTGGCTGCTTCAACTTCTTGTAAATATTGGCGACGAGGGGGCGAAGAAAATTCTAGAAGGTAACCTGAACGCTTAGTAGTGTTAAGGCAGAGAACAGGAGGGGGAAATAAAGAGAGAGAGAGAGAGCGAGAGAGAGAGAGGAAAAGTGTATGGAGAAGTTGGAATTGAAAAAAAAAAAAAAAAAAAGAAAGGAAACTTATAAATGGCATATTCTTTTGCAATTAGAATTGTGATTATTGTTGATATTCTTGTCTTTGAGGAAATTGTTTAAGCGAATAGGCCCCCCACCTCTTATTATTAATTATTAATTATTAATTATTATACGTCTCTAATTTCTCGAGGTCACACTATCTTTTTTCTCCTATGCACCCTTTGATGTGACAAACTCATTGAATTAACAATGTTTTGTACACTTCATGCATGAAGGGGGGGAAACAAAAGTTTGACAGGGCCATTCACAAAGCAGAAGGGATGGATGGCGCACCGCCCAATGAGGTCTTGGAACCTTTGGAGGAAGTGTACAAACCATCACTGCGTGTGGATGTGACGGCAGAGCCTCCGGAGGAAAATGAAAACAGCACAGGAACAACTCCTGTGACATCTGTTACTCCACATGTTTCTACAAATATTTTTGTGGCAGGACTCCCCCCATCATGGGACGAGAACGACTTGCGGAAAAAGTTTCAGGAATTTGGCGAGATTATTTCTACGAAACTTGTGAGACAACGTCATTTTGCATTTGTAATGTTTCGAAGGCCCGAGTCTGCGCATGCTGCGATCAATGCGACACATTTGACACATCCCACACCAAATAGTTCCATGTTCTTGCATGTGTCTATTGCGATGCATGATGAGGGGGTAGATGAAATACCTAATGATCGTGTTTTTATTCGAGGGCTACCTCAGTGGGCAAACAAGGATCATCTTCGGCATTGTTTTTCGCGTTTTGGCAGCATTGTAGACTCCGCCGTACTTATGAATCCTCTTGGACAGTGCAAGGGCTCCGGTTTTGTGCAGTTTTCATCTATTGATGAGGCGACGGAGGCGATTAAAGCAAGGAAGACCATTCGCATTGAAAACTGGGATGCGGAGCTGGAGATCAAATATTCAGAGACGGCTGAAGTTAGGCAACAACGACAGGAACGTAACAAAAACCGGCAGAGGCATTCACCGAAATATGGGCAGCACCAGCTGCAATACCAACTTTTTAATTCTTCAGCTTCGGTGGTTTCCCCAATACCCGCCTTTCCTGTACTGGGAATGTCAGCTCCGTTCCCCTTTTTTTATCCGCGGCCTGCGCTTAGTCCGGCGGCATCGCCCCACATAATATACTCTCCGATGGTTCCATCACCCGTAGTGCCGGTATATCCGTCTCCGCCCGTAGTTTTTAAATCCAAACTGGACTTATTTCCCTCCAGCGGTGATTTACTTTTTACAGGTGTATCATTGACAGAGTCAACCCTGTTGTCACTCTTACAGTGTTATGGGAAAGTAGACTCTAAGGATATTTTTGATGATGCTGGGGCAGCCGTGAGAATGGTGGACCGGGGGTTACACTTAATTATTGTCCAACAACTCAACGGCACTATCTTTCCCGATGGTAAGGTGATGTCAGTCGTTCTTTACCCTTGAGCCCAACCAAAACGTTTTTTTCTTTTTTTTTTTTTTCTTTATTCCATTATTTTAAGAAGAAAGGACAATCGCGCTAACTGAAAAAACAAAAAACAAAAAAAAAGAAAAAAAAAAAGAAAAATGAGAAGCAAAAGAGAGAGAGAGAGAAAAGGCAAATCAACAATAACAACACCAACAACAACAACAACAATTGTGGTAGGCAGTGATACATTTATATTACTGTATTGATGTTTTAAAAATAGCATCAGTTCTTTACATATTAAGAGTCATTTCTCATGCTGACGCTGTAACGCTAGTTAAAAATTACAATAAGCTTATTATTATTATTATTATTATTCGTATGTGTGTATGCATGTATGTGTGCGTCTGTGGACATTTTTATGTTTAATAAAGTATTATTTATGACTTTTTCTGTTTTTCTTTTTCTTTTTCTTTTTTTCTTCTTTCTTCTTCTTTTTGCTCTTTTAATTACAGCTGTGCAATGCTTGGGTTAGGCGTGGGTAATGCTTCCACAAATAAAATAGGGTTTATATGGGGAAATTTGATTTTTATCTCCTGCTGCGTTACCTCCATTATTTATGTTCTTGTGGGTCTTTTTGCTTGTCGTCGGTTAATTCGGTCAAACTGGCGTTGGGTGCTGATTGTGGCCCTCTACTGGTTAGTTGGCATGCTGCATGCTTTTTTGTCACTTGCTATAATTTGTTTGGCGGTGGCCTGCGTATTTTGGACCTTTTCTGACAAGGCGATAGCAACTACCGAGGCAATCGCGTACTCGGGAGTCATGGTCGTACTCACTGTGTTTTTTGCTCTTGGACGGAAGTCAATAGTGTACGCACTGTAAAACGAAACTATTTTCTCTCCGAAATGCATGTATTTTTGTAGTTATTTCCTTTTTTTATTCTCTTAAAAAAGAAGAAAAAGGAAAAAAAAAAAACATTTTTTTTTTGATCTTTTTAAATTATTTTCTCTGGCGTTATTGCTGTATTTGTTTCTTTTGCTTGCATTGCGACTCATGTATGTATGTATGTGCTTTTTTTTTTTAATTTATTTTGATACCGACTTTGTTTTTGCTTTTTGTTTGCTTCATGTCGATGGTCTCAGCGCTTTGTGTTACAAATAAGTAAAAAATGGGCTTTGTGACTCAGGTGGAGGGGGAATGTATGTTTGGCAGTCTCGTCAAGGTTTCTGAATCTTCGGATCATGTCTACAGTACCCCTTTTTCACCGGACGGAAAATATCTGGCATGTGTGCTCGGTGACGGCTCGCTTCTTATCTTGGACCCTAAAACACTACATGTTCGGCACAGGACTCAGATGGGCAAATCGTACGATGGTTTGCCTAGCACCGGCGTCTGTTGGTTTACTCAAAAGGAAGACGATGTGTACGACTTAGTTTCTGTCTCAAGTGCAGGGGGTGTCTTTGTTTGGAGGTGGGACGGAGAACAAATTGAGCGTACGGCAAAAGCGCATGAGGTGGATAATGAAATTACATGTGTTGAAGTCTCTTCGGATGCAGGCGATTTCCTAACGGCTGGTAGTGATCGTATTTTGCGCCAGTACGATTCAACTGGTAAGTTGAAAGATATCTTATGCAAGGGATTTGACGATGACGGGTACTTGCGCGCAACACATACAAACCGTATTTTTTCCGTTCGTTTTGTCACACCCACAATCGCTGTTAGTGGCGGGTGGGGAAGCCCAATTCAGGTATGGGACATGCGTAGCTTGGAGTCTCGAAAGCAGATTTTGGGTACACAGATTGCAGCTGACAGTATTGAGCCTCTCCCCAATACCACCTGCATCATTGTCACCTCAAAAAAGCCGGAAAGACAGATACAGGTGTTTGACTGCTTGTCGGGGGAAGAGATGGAGGAGGTTTCCACTCGTTTATCATCCGAAATGGGAGATAACGTTCCGTTGGTCTCAAGATACTGCGAAAAAACTGGTCTTCTATGGACCATAACATCAAAATCACATAAAGTTCTTGTTACGTCATTCTCTACTGGAAAATTATTGGCCTCGTGCGAATTGCCTGTCTCTCTCATGAACATACATGTTTCACATCACTATCCTTTTCAAGCGATTGTTTCATGTGCTAATGGAAAGATCTTTCTGGCCACAGTGAAGGTGTAGCTTAGGCACTGCCACTAGTAAAAAAGTGCATTTGCTACGTGATTTGTTTTTTTTCCCCTAAATTTTATACTTTTTAAAGGACCCTCTTTTTTTATTTTTATTTGTGTGTGTTTGTATACGCTGAAAGAACGTGTTTTTTAAAATACGATTTTTTTTTTTTTTGTTTTCGGTTGGTTACTGGTACTTTTTGAGTATTTCGTGCCCCTCTTGTCAGCGCCGTTCCTTTTAGCACCGTTTCTTTTTTGTAAATGCGTGTGTGCATACATGCATTTGCGTATGTAAATATATCTATATATCTCTCTCTCTATATATATATATTTATATTATTTATTTATGCTTGCACCATTTCGCTTGAAGGTTTTTCATATTTTATTTTATTTTTCTTTGCATTTATTTTGTTTTTGTTGCCTTTTTTTTCTCTTTATTTTTTTCTATTCCTTTTTGTTCTTCATTTGGGCATTTTTTCCTTCTACCTTCATGTGGCTTTATAAAGAAAAGAAAAGAAAAAAGGCTAAGATCGAATGAACCGCACATGACGACTATTAACGAGGAGGCGCTTGATCGTTTGCTGCACGAGAACAGACGGCTTCAGTCATATGTTCGCTCTTTGATTGAGGCGATTGAGGTTCGCCGTGTGCTCACAGATAATGTTCTTTTTGCATTAGTACGGAGAGAAGCTGCACAGCGGCAGCCTAACCGAAAGGAACTTCTTGGGGCTGACGTGGACCTATGGTTTAAATTTTGCTGTGGTTCCCAGATGTATGCGCCTGCTTCCCTTATGCGGCCGCCGTGGTATTGCCATGCATTTGCACCCAACTTTCGCTGGAGCCATCGAGCGAAAAGGTTGATGAAGAGACAGGTGGAGCTCCTGGGTTTAGACAATTGGGAGGAGGGCAATTCTACGCAGTGGCAGATTGTGGCGGATGCCGTCAACTACGACTCGAGTTCTACTCGGAGAGTAGACGGTTTTCAATGTTTTCTGCAGTATTATCAGGAAGTAATAGCTTCGCCGGACCCCTTCTCGTCCACAGAGGATAACCTCATCGATATGCATGACCCGGTAAGCGGTCGATGGGGCAAAC